TTATCCCAAATCTTATCGTCCATATCTTTACCATAAATATTTCGCATATAGAAACGTTTAAGTGCCATAGTATCTGGGATAGAGCGCTCTTGATCAAACTTAAGATTTTCAGCTTCTTCAGGATCAAGATTCCGGGAAATAGCAACCGCATCAAAATCTGTTTTCTTAATAACTAGTGCTTCAACCCTAACCTCATTGCGGACTTTTTTGTGATTTCCTATAACTCCTCGGCTCTCATCCATTTTTATTAGTTGGAGAGAAGCACCAGTACTGGCTATAAGACTGCAAAGCTTCTCAATAAAATATCTTGCAGAAAGGCGTTTCTGATGCTCAACTTCAATGAATGTTATTACAGCAGGAGATTCATCGATTTTATAAGAAACGGCGTTGCTATCCCATTCATAGTGGCCTTTTATTGATGTAGGTAAATTATTAGGCTGAGCATTTGCTAGTTCTGCTCAAATATTTTCACGGCCTGGTGGACGAAAAAGTTCATTAGAATTTTTCTGATAGAACATAGAAACAATACGACAAGGACAGTCATGAATTCGATAAAGCATTTGTACAAGAGCCTCAACATGAACTGGGGTGGCAATATTTGTAATGGCTATGACTATATCAAAGTGGCCTGTAACCTCGAATGATATTCCCACCTCCACTGTATTTGTATAAGCTATACAGTCAAGCTTGCTCCAAGCAACATTAATATCAGAAAAGTCTTTTTGTCGCTGTTTCCCATCCATATCTCCATAATATGCACGGGCTCTAACAGGCGAATTATCAAGTTTAGATAACTTAGATGCTTTTTCTACTAACGCTCTAGCCATCACTGCTCCAGTAGATACAAATGCTACACGCTTACCTTGCCTTAAAAACTCATATCCTATTCTCATGGCTTCAGCTTCACTATTCGGATCATAAAGAATTTCAACCGTCTCACCCACACGAGGCTGGTATCTATTATCAATTATACGAATGTCTTCACCACGATATGTCTTAAGGAATGCTAATGTTGATTTATTCGCAAAGGCATCCATTGCGACTACATGCTTGCAGATCTTAAAACATCACATAATGCATTCTCAGATTTTCGTGCATTTGTACCGCTAGACATTTGGCGCATGATAACATTGGCCTCATCAAGAATAGCCACAAAGGGACAGGCTGTGAATTCGACACGAAAAAGACTTTCAACCTGTACTATGATAATGTCCCACTCATTTATAGATAAGTCTCCTTGCATATTTTGGTAATTGCAAATTCGAAAGCCGGATGCTTTTAACAAGTCAAGTTTGGCTTTTGATTCATTACTGAGAGATTTTCAGTAAGAGATCCAGATAAAGCATGGTAAAGAAGAAATATCATGCACTTTATCTTTTAATGCCATAATAATCTTTCTCAATGTAGTAGTTTTCCATGTTGCCAGAGATGAACGAATTAGTGTGGTAGTTTTTTCAGAACTCAAGAAATCAGGATATGATTCAGGGGCGTCTTTTAGCTTTTTAACATTAATAACTTTTCCTGGCAACTCTACAAGAGGGCGTGGTTTTGCAATGGCATTGGCCAGTCTATCAACAATTTTTTGTTTAGGTATTTCTTTCGGCTTGATTATATCTGATACTCCCTT